GCCCCTCTCCTGCAGCCCGGCCATAGTCTCCGACCATCTCCTGCAGCACCGCCATAGTCTCCGACCATCTCCTGCTTAATGTCTACAGTCTGATAGTTTTCTGTAGCATTACATTCACTATGGTGTGGCCCTTTTGGTGATTTCAGACGACTCACTTGAGGTTTCCAACATCAAGTAAGTAGACCATCATTGGCCTAAGGCATTTATCCGTTTTGCATGACGCCTTCCATTTAAAACTTTTCTAGCAATGACGAGCGAAATCTCCCAGACTCATTCACCAGCAACTGAAACTCAAATTGCTTTACGCCAGGGGTCTCAAACCTCCGGCCCTCCAGCTGTGGTGGAACTACAAATCCCATGAGGCATTGCAAGACTCTCACAGCCACAACTCCCGAAGAGAGATGCATCATGGGATTTGTAGTTTCACCACAGCTGGAGGGCCGGAGGTTTGAGACCCCCCTGCTTTACACAGTGGGTTGGTGAACCTGTAATGGGGTCCTCTGGGCTGCTTAGAAATCTACATCAGTATGAACACGGGCCACCACTAGTGTTGCAGGCAAGAACCGGCCTCCGGTGTAACCTCACTAACCAAAAATCAGCATGTAAAAAAAAAAAGGGCAGAAGGTGATCGCGTCTGACACCGACAATGTCAAAAAGTTCACAGCAGTCATTCTACTGATAATCCGGCATAGGGGCAGAATGCATGATAAGAAATACTTATAGACTGAGGGAGGATAAACAGGGAGCCAATACCCTGGAAGGAAGCGGGGGTGGCATTCACTCTGCAAGGAGGAAGTGAAATGATAGGCGGAGCTACACTACAGAGAACATAAAAAATGCAGAAGCGCACTACCAAGTAGTGACTGAGCAGGAGAAAATAATCAAATGAGACTTACCAGGGTGTGGGTAATAGCGCGTTGTCAGCGGTGAGGTCTGGATAAAGGGTTGCTGGTGGTGGTGGGCAGGCTAATGTGTAAATCGTTGGTGCTGGAAAGACTAAGATGTCAAAAGGGGAACTGGGTCCGACGTTTAATGTGGCTGGGATCTGAGGGGGCGGCTCGGGTTTGGGAGAAAAAAAATTTTGGGCTGTTTAAAACGTGCTAGCTGCTGGTGGATGTGTACCTGAGATCTGTGTGTGTGCGGGGGAGCTGCGGTGAACAGTTGAAGCTGTCAGGCCGGGATTGTCCGGGGGAAACCACCAGTGCGGAAGCTAGCTTGGAGGTGGATGTTGAGGTCAGGTTGGGACTACACCGCTCGAGGGCACGAGCGGCACGCCCGAAGCAGCGAGCGGTGCGTCCGTGGGGTACAACGGGTGGGAACGAGTGGCGGAGGTGGTGGGTGAAGGAGTTGAAAACTGGCTACGCGTTTCGAAGAGCGGGTCTTCTTTTTCAAGCCACTGAGTGAAGGCCTTGGTAAGTCTCATTTGATTATTTTCTCCTGCTCAGTCACTACTTGGTAGTGCGCCTCTGCATTTTTTATGTTCTCTATCAGCAAAACGTTGGACACCCCGGTCCGCAATTTTTAGGAGCCGCACACTTAGTAACGCAAGCGATATTTGTTCACCCTCACCTCAGTGGCAGCGCTGTAATAGAGGACATTTCTCCCAACTTTTTTTTGGAGCTACACTACAGAACATTCTCACAAGACCTCCATATGCTTACATTGCCTTCTTCCGGCCCATCCCTGCTGGCGTTACCTCTCGATTTATATTCTGGAGAAGATCGCCCATCTGTCAGAGGAATGAAAATAAATAGTGAAACCCAAAATCAGTGGTGTGTGTGTGCGCGTGTGTGTGTGTCGAGTACCGGGAGTTCCATTCAGGAAGCAAGGTGGCGTGTAATGACTCGCCACCCGGCTTCCCAATTACTAAGAAAGTCTGTCCCCTCTTACCTTGGTATGTCCAGCCTGTCACCCCCGGGGCCTCTGCAGCCAGAACACGGCCTTCCTCCAGCACCCAGCAGGAGATCTGGCCGGCCAATCATGAGATGACGAGGGAGCATGAAGCCAGACTAGGCTTCGGAGCATTTGGGCGAGGGCGAGTACTCACTCCCAAATACTCAGTATCGGCACATCCCTAGTATATACACAGCAAAACGTGAGAATAACCAATCCCAGTGCTCACCATAGACCTCTGTCACCTCAGGATGGTGTGTGTGTGGTGTGTGGTGTGTGGTGTGTGGTGTGTGGTGTGGGGTGTGTGGTGTGGGGTGTGTGGTGTGGGGTGTGTGGTGTGGGGTGTGTGGTGTGGGGTGTGTGGTGTGGGGTGTGTGGTGTGGGGTGTGTGGTGTGGGGTGTGTGGTGTGGGGTGTGTGGTGTGGGGTGTGTGGTGTGGGGTGTGTGGTGTGGGGTGTGTGGTGTGGGGTGTGTGGTGTGGGGTGTGTGGTGTGGGGTGTGTGGTGTGGGGTGTGTGGTGTGGGGTGTGTGGTGTGGGGTGTGTGGTGTGGGGTGTGTGGTGTGGGGTGTGTGGTGTGGGGTGTGTGGTGTGGGGTGTGTGGTGTGGGGTGTGTGGTGTGGGGTGTGTGGTGTGGGGTGTGTGGTGTGGGGTGTGTGGTGTGGGGTGTGTGGTGTGGGGTGTGTGGTGTGGGGTGTGTGGTGTGGGGTGTGTGGTGTGGGGTGTGTGGTGTGGGGTGTGTGGTGTGGGGTGTGTGGTGTGGGGTGTGTGGTGTGGGGTGTGTGGTGTGGGGTGTGTGGTGTGGGGTGTGTGGTGTGGGGTGTGTGGTGTGGGGTGTGTGGTGTGGGGTGTGTGGTGTGGGGTGTGTGGTGTGGGGTGTGTGGTGTGGGGTGTGTGGTGTGGGGTGTGTGGTGTGGGGTGTGTGGTGTGGGGTGTGTGGTGTGGGGTGTGTGGTGTGGGGTGTGTGGTGTGGGGTGTGTGGTGTGGGGTGTGTGGTGTGGGGTGTGTGGTGTGGGGTGTGTGGTGTGGGGTGTGTGGTGTGGGGTGTGTGGTGTGGGGTGTGTGGTGTGGGGTGTGTGGTGTGGGGTGTGTGGTGTGGGGTGTGTGGTGTGGGGTGTGTGGTGTGGGGTGTGTGGTGTGGGGTGTGTGGTGTGGGGTGTGTGGTGTGGGGTGTGTGGTGTGGGGTGTGTGGTGTGGGGTGTGTGGTGTGGGGTGTGTGGTGTGGGGTGTGTGGTGTGGGGTGTGTGGTGTGGGGTGTGTGGTGTGGGGTGTGTGGTGTGGGGTGTGTGGTGTGGGGTGTGTGGTGTGGGGTGTGTGGTGTGGGGTGTGTGGTGTGGGGTGTGTGGTGTGGGGTGTGTGGTGTGGGGTGTGTGGTGTGGGGTGTGTGGTGTGGGGTGTGTGGTGTGGGGTGTGTGGTGTGGGGTGTGTGGTGTGGGGTGTGTGGTGTGGGGTGTGTGGTGTGGGGTGTGTGGTGTGGGGTGTGTGGTGTGGGGTGTGTGGTGTGGGGTGTGTGGTGTGGGGTGTGTGGTGTGGGGTGTGTGGTGTGGGGTGTGTGGTGTGGGGTGTGTGGTGTGGGGTGTGTGGTGTGGGGTGTGTGGTGTGGGGTGTGTGGTGTGGGGTGTGTGGTGTGGGGTGTGTGGTGTGGGGTGTGTGGTGTGGGGTGTGTGGTGTGGGGTGTGTGGTGTGGGGTGTGTGGTGTGGGGTGTGTGGTGTGGGGTGTGTGGTGTGGGGTGTGTGGTGTGGGGTGTGTGGTGTGGGGTGTGTGGTGTGGGGTGTGTGGTGTGGGGTGTGTGGTGTGGGGTGTGTGGTGTGGGGTGTGTGGTGTGGGGTGTGTGGTGTGGGGTGTGTGGTGTGGGGTGTGTGGTGTGGGGTGTGTGGTGTGGGGTGTGTGGTGTGGGGTGTGTGGTGTGGGGTGTGTGGTGTGGGGTGTGTGGTGTGGGGTGTGTGGTGTGGGGTGTGTGGTGTGGGGTGTGTGGTGTGGGGTGTGTGGTGTGGGGTGTGTGGTGTGGGGTGTGTGGTGTGGGGTGTGTGGTGTGGGGTGTGTGGTGTGGGGTGTGTGGTGTGGGGTGTGTGGTGTGGGGTGTGTGGTGTGGGGTGTGTGGTGTGGGGTGTGTGGTGTGGGGTGTGTGGTGTGGGGTGTGTGGTGTGGGGTGTGTGGTGTGGGGTGTGTGGTGTGGGGTGTGTGGTGTGGGGTGTGTGGTGTGGGGTGTGTGGTGTGGGGTGTGTGGTGTGGGGTGTGTGGTGTGGGGTGTGTGGTGTGGGGTGTGTGGTGTGGGGTGTGTGGTGTGGGGTGTGTGGTGTGGGGTGTGTGGTGTGGGGTGTGTGGTGTGGGGTGTGTGGTGTGGGGTGTGTGGTGTGGGGTGTGTGGTGTGGGGTGTGTGGTGTGGGGTGTGTGGTGTGGGGTGTGTGGTGTGGGGTGTGTGGTGTGGGGTGTGTGGTGTGGGGTGTGTGGTGTGGGGTGTGTGGTGTGGGGTGTGTGGTGTGGGGTGTGTGGTGTGGGGTGTGTGGTGTGGGGTGTGTGGTGTGGGGTGTGTGGTGTGGGGTGTGTGGTGTGGGGTGTGTGGTGTGGGGTGTGTGGTGTGGGGTGTGTGGTGTGGGGTGTGTGGTGTGGGGTGTGTGGTGTGGGGTGTGTGGTGTGGGGTGTGTGGTGTGGGGTGTGTGGTGTGGGGTGTGTGGTGTGGGGTGTGTGGTGTGGGGTGTGTGGTGTGGGGTGTGTGGTGTGGGGTGTGTGGTGTGGGGTGTGTGGTGTGGGGTGTGTGGTGTGGGGTGTGTGGTGTGGGGTGTGTGGTGTGGGGTGTGTGGTGTGGGGTGTGTGGTGTGGGGTGTGTGGTGTGGGGTGTGTGGTGTGGGGTGTGTGGTGTGGGGTGTGTGGTGTGGGGTGTGTGGTGTGGGGTGTGTGGTGTGGGGTGTGTGGTGTGGGGTGTGTGGTGTGGGGTGTGTGGTGTGTGGTGTGTGTGTGGGGTGTGTGTGTGGGGTGTGTGTGTGTGTGTGGGGTGTGTGTGGTGTGTGGGGTGTGTGTGTGTGTGTCATTAGCACTGTTATCCCATGCTCTGCCCGAGGAATGCCGGTGTCCGTATTCCTACTCTGTACACATTTCTTTGGGCTCACCAATACAAATGATACACATACTGTATATGAGCCACTTTGTAATCACGTAAAGCAGAACTCCAGCCGTAAAGCTAAATATAGTTGAATTATACCGAAAATCACAAATACAGCTGCCAAAAAATAGATGTAAAAAGAGAGATGAACTTCATTATTGTGCTGCTTCTCCTTTACTGTCCAGTCACAGGACGTGTTTGTGCACACCCAAGCTAATCTAGAAGATGAAGCTGATGACCAACTCACCCAGCGAGTCCATAAAAGGTTTGCCCGGATTTCTGGTCAGTTCTGCAGGACCAGAGAATCGCCCGGATGGTGGCGGGTAATGGTAAAATCGGTCCGGTCGCCGGGGTGGGAAATGGTGCTCTGGGTATGGCAGGCCTGGGTACAGCGTGGGGGGAAAAGAGAAGTAGTTAAAGTAAGTAATACAAAGAACTTGTGTGGAACTCAGAGAGAGCGCTCCAGTGACCATATTACACCTTTTCTATGATCAGATTAACAATGAATGGCAAAACACCCCAAAAATAATAATAATTCTCCAAAAACATCACATATGTGATTCAGACCTAAACCCAGAGTACAATATAGAAAGTTACAACCACAAAGAGATGGTTACCCATAGGCCAGATTGTGACATTAAAGCATATAATTTGAGCACTACTGTGATAATGGGAGCTCCTCATAATGGACACAGCGGGTGTACAGACCCGCGAACTGAGCACAGGGATGGTGGGAGCTCCTCATAATGGGCACAGCGGGTGTACAGCCCCGGGAACTGAGCACAGGGATGGTGGGAGCTCCTCATAATGGGCACAGCGGGTGTACAGCCCCGGGAACTGAGCACAGGGATGGTGGGAGCTCCTCATAATGGGCACAGCGGGTGTACAGCCCCGGGAACTGAGCACAGGGATGGTGGGAGCTCCTCATAATGGGCACAGCGGGTGTACAGCCCCGGGAACTGAGCACAGGGATGGTGGGAGCTCCTCATAATGGGCACAGCGGGTGTACAGCCCCGGGAACTGAGCACAGGGATGGTGGGAGCTCCTCATAATGGGCACAGCGGGTGTACAGCCCCGGGAACTGAGCACAGGGATGGTGGGAGCTCCTCATAATGGGCACAGCGGGTGTACAGCCCCGGGAACTGAGCACAGGGATGGTGGGAGCTCCTCATAATGGGCACAGCGGGTGTACAGCCCCGGGAACTGAGCACAGGGATGGTGGGAGCTCCTCATAATGGGCACAGCGGGTGTACAGCCCCGGGAACTGAGCACAGGGATGGTGGGAGCTCCTCATAATGGGCACAGCGGGTGTACAGCCCCGGGAACTGAGCACAGGGATGGTGGGAGCTCCTCATAATGGGCACAGCGGGTGTACAGCCCCGGGAACTGAGCACAGGGATGGTGGGAGCTCCTCATAATGGGCACAGCGGGTGTACAGCCCCGGGAACTGAGCACAGGGATGGTGGGAGCTCCTCATAATGGGCACAGCGGGTGTACAGCCCCGGGAACTGAGCACAGGGATGGTGGGAGCTCCTCATAATGGGCACAGCGGGTGTACAGCCCCGGGAACTGAGCACAGGGATGGTGGGAGCTCCTCATAATGGGCACAGCGGGTGTACAGCCCCGGGAACTGAGCACAGGGATGGTGGGAGCTCCTCATAATGGGCACAGCGGGTGTACAGCCCCGGGAACTGAGCACAGGGATGGTGGGAGCTCCTCATAATGGGCACAGCGGGTGTACAGCCCCGGGAACTGAGCACAGGGATGGTGGGAGCCCCTCATAATGGGCACAGTAGGTGTGCAGACCCGGGAACCCACCAATAAAAGGTACAATAGATACTCTTAAAAAAATAGACCACACAGGGACTCGTACACACCTACACAATCACATACAGACACACAAAAGGTTGAACTTGATGGACCCGTGTCTTTATTCAACCTCAAATACTATGTAACTATAAAGCCCCTGAAAGATAGGCGAGATTGTCAGGTGATTTAACTCCGCCAAATACTAAGAGGGTCTAAAAGGACATTTCACCCAAAGCTGATATCAGTAGAGTGGAAATGAACTGGAAGGATCCCAGGATATAAAAAATAAAGAAAAGAAGAAAATGCACATACCTGGTGGGGGGACATTGTTCTTCTGCTCTCTGTCCCATGGTGGTGATAAAGACCCAGCATCAGATAACGTGCGCTGGTGGTCTGATTTTCTATCTGCATTAGCATCACTTCCCTCCTTGGGCCCAGGGTACCCTGGGTAATATCCTGGAGGCCGCATACCTGCAGATGAAATGTCCTCAATTATTGTGTTCCTAAGGAATGTGCAGAGGATGTCATTTAATCACTGTACTGAGGAAAGAGAGAGAGAGAGCAGAGCGAGAGGAAAGAGAGAGAGCGAGCAGAGCGAGAGGAAAGAGAGAGAGAGAGCGAGAGAGCAGAGCGAGAGGAAAGAGAGAGCGAGAGAGCAGAGCGAGAGGAAAGAGAGAGAGAGAGAGCAGAGCGAGAGGAAAGAGAGAGCGAGAGAGCAGAGCGAGAGGAAAGAGAGAGAGAGAGAGCGAGAGGAAAGAGAGCAGAGCGAGAGGAAAGAGAGAGAGAGAGAGCGAGAGGAAAGAGAGCAGAGCGAGAGGAAAGAGAGAGAGAGAGAGCGAGAGGAAAGAGAGCAGAGCGAGAGGAAAGAGAGAGAGAGAGAGCGAGAGGAAAGAGAGCAGAGCGAGAGGAAAGAGAGCAGAGCGAGAGGAAAGAGAGCAGAGCGAGAGGAAAGAGAGCAGAGCGAGAGGAAAGAGAGCAGAGCGAGAGGAGAGAGCGGCAGAAGAAAACAGACAGGTAAAAGGATGGTATGGAAGACGGTAGTAGATCCACATACACAGAGCGACAGATCGGGGGAGGAGAGTATTAAAGCTGGAAACACATAAAACACATTTCCTCTTCATTAGACTCATGCACAGAGCTTGCTCCTCATGTGCCCAGGGTGGATATGAAGCGGTCGGCCCGCATACCTCTATCGCCTGCAGGCAGCATCGGGGAAAGCCTGAGGGGTCCTTCCAGAAGCGTTGGAGGGGAGAGGAAAGCGCGGTTCTCCTGTGCGCGGCTGATTGGAGACAATCCATACGGTGAGCTCTCTGGAGAACAGGAAGACGAGAAATGGAAGAATCTGCTGGCTACGAGGTGCAATCATTTCTATCACAGATCGGTCGTTATGTGAGAACTAAAAATGAGGCAAACTAATGGAAGACACAAAACGCGGCACTACATTAAAAGGCGAAAAACATGTCACAAGACGGCATGTGAAAAGAGCTTCTTGATGACTGAACGAGGTCGGTGAAGACGAGTATATGAGCTACACGGGGTGATATTTTGCAGCACACAAGTGACTTCCTGTCTCGTACATCAAGCTTCTACTACTGGCCGCTCACAACCTGCGGCCAGGGAACTGAGGAACAGGAACAGGATTTTTTTTTTTTTAATCCCAGTCTTCAGCTGCTGACTTTCGATCACATGTGAGTAGATTTTAGTAACTGTATTGCTGCTATTATGACTTTGTATCCCACCCCAATGAAGTGCGGCATTAATGACCGATGTTTATGGCCTATGGGATGTAACAGAGGGACACAATGGACACTATGGGCTGATGGTCTATGTTCCATGCAATGAGAGCAATGTAAATATCAATACCTGGGTGGTTAATAAAGGCATCTGCGTAAGCTACCAGGAGAAAAATACGAAACGCGTTAAATACACCAAATCACTACGGCATCCATCAGTATCTGCTGGTTGGATGACCAGTGAAACGTCTTCAAGAAAAGAAAAAAACAGCAAGTTCTGTTGCCATGACTTATTTTTTTTACAGATACATCAGTATCTGGCCATATCACGTAAGGTGCCCATACACTGCTCGATTCTCGTACGAGAATAGCGGGAAATCCCGCGATCGTACGAGAATCGAGCAGTGTGAATGAAGACGTGCGACCGTTTCTACTGTACGGTCGCACGTCTTTTGTCTAAGGAGCACGCTAGAAAACCCGCCGGGAATCGTACGATTTTCGGCTGGTTTGAACGGTGCTCGGGAGACAAATGCCGAACGTGCCGGTGTGCGCACGTGCACACTGCCCGTTCAGCATTGCGGTCATCGGAAGCCCGCCCCTCAGGAGGCGGGCTTGCGATGATCGCAAGTACGATCTGCCTGTCCAAGATGGGCAGATAGTACGTTTTTTTTAAAAATTACTTTCCAACCATCGCAAGACCAAGGTCTTGCGATGGTTGGAAAGTGTATGGCCACCTTAAGAGGGATGTCACACTCCAGGGCCACACAGAAAACGCGTCATCGATAACGGGAAGGATTTATAGTAGTGAATGTCGAGAAAAGAAATCTTGGAAAAAAAATATGAAAGCGCAAAAAAAAAAAAAAAACCCTTTGAAATGCTAGCCCTGAAACAAAGTTTCCCTTC